GAACTGGGTAATCAACTTGGGGGCCAAGGCAGGGACAAAGGCCAAGAGGATGCAGTTTGCCATCATACTGGAGCGAGGCGGGGTGTTGGAGGAACTCCTTCATCGAGTGGTCCTAGGGACACCGCCAGAGGGCCTCCTTTTCCCCTACTCGCTCGTCGACTACAGGCATCGGCTCAGGCAATTTGAAGCAGCCCTGGGCCTCGACATCCACTGGACGCCCCACTCGGCGCGGGCGGGCTTTGCAAGCGATTCCGTGGCTTGTGGTATCCCCTTCCAGGAGATCAAGGAGGCAGGACGGTGGCTCACCGAGTCCAGCCTCCGCATCTACGTGGACGTTGTCACCGCCTCTCGAGTCCTGGCACAGGCTGAGCAGCGAGGAATCGCATCGCTCGTCCGAGAGGCGGCCGAGAAGCTGCCCAGCTACTTCCCGAAGGGCATCTTCGGCGAGGACGCGAGCAGCAAGCATGCCGCCGTCGGGCTGGCGCAAGGGGGAGGACGGGTCCTGGGTGCTCCCAGTGCCTGGGCGCCCGCCAGCCCCACTGGCGGGGGGCCGCCGAGTGGCCTCCCCTGCGCCAGCGGCGCGCCCGCCGCCAGCGCCGCCACCAGGGCGAGCTGGTGGACGGGATCTTGGCGGGGCCGCCGCAGCAGGGGGATGCAGCAGCGGGAGCGGGCGCGGCCGAGGCCGAGGCGCCAGCGCCAGCGAACCTAGGCGCGCTGCAGCCGCTGGCCGCGCGCCCGCAGGGAGCGGGCGCGGCGACAGGGCAGCGACGCGCCAGGGCCGGCGGCTGGGCGCTGCTGCGCGCGGCCTGGAGCACCGCGAGGCGGTGCGGACGCTCGTCCACGCGAGGCGTGACGTGGGCTGCTGTCGCCGTCTGGCTGATCGCGTGGCTGTACGTGGCCGGGCCGATGGCCCACTTCGGGACCATGATGGGCATGGCTGCGAGCGTGTCGGTCTCGGCGGGGAAGGTGGTCGACCACAGCCTCGGAGCCGTGATCACGGCTGCTCAAGGCGTGTCCGACTTCGCCGTGACCTCGACGCGCCACTCGGCGAACATCCTGCAGGAAGCGTGGAGAGGCGTGGACATCACCGACCTTCGAGTGCACCAGCGCCACGCCGAGCGGATCGCCGACGACCCCACGCTACTGCAGGAATGGGTACTACGAGAGTTCTCGTCAGTGGAGCCGCGGCCGCCTGGGGCCGACCAGGTAGCCAGCGCGATCGCTGAAGCGTCCGTGACAGTGCCACACGCAACTGAGAGCTGGCAGATGTTGGTGTGGCCAGGCCAGTACAGAGAGTTCCACATAACCTACGATCTACTGTCGACAGGATTCTACGGCGTCCACGTGGTCGACCGCATCGTGAATTTCAGCGTGCAGTGGTCGAACCCGCTGTGGAGCGGCCTCGAGTGCGACCTCGGCTCAGAGAGAGACACCATCCTCCTCCACATCAACTCGACCCTGTCCAGGCTCCCCCTCCCCGCGATCCGCTACATGTCGATGAGCGACCGCGAACTCGAGCTCGCGAAGCTCCCGGGGGCCTGGATCACCATGAGTCGTAGGCTGTTTCGCGCTCTCTTTCTGGCAGTCAAGAGCGTCCTTCAGTTGCTTATGTTCGGACAGTGAGTTTAGTCACAAGCTGAATGATTTTGTAGGGGCACAGGCGAGGGCGGGCGAGGGGCTTGCTCTCGGTTTTGTTGTGTGTTCCCAAGGTCCCTTCTCTAGCAAAGGGGTCCAGCACAGTTTGTGCGCCGGGCGCAGGGCCAAACTGTGGTTTCATTGATAGCTCGCGAGCGGAGGCGGGAAGAGCTCGGCGGCAAGCCTGTAATTAGCAAGCCAAGCGATTTGATCGAACTTCTCGCCTCCCTTTGTCAAAATTCCAGGGTTGGGTCTAAACGGACACCATTATGATGATGATGATGATGATGATGATGATGATGATGATGATGATGATGATGATGATGATGATGCTGATGATGATGATGATGGTGATGGTGATGGTGATGGTGATGATGATGATGATGATGATGATGATGATGATGATGATGATGATGATGATGATGATGATGACGATGGTGATGATGATGATGCTGCTGCTGATGATGATGCTGCTGCTGATGATGATGGTGATGAGGAGATGTAGAAGGAGGCGGGTAATGATGATGGTGTTGGTGGTGGGCATGATTATGAGTCATCGCCTTCCCTACACACTGACCCCTGGACGTGCCCTCGTCGTCCTATTTCCCAGTCTTCCGCTCCACCTCCATCTCCACCCTCTCCTCGCTGCCTCCTCCTCTCGCTCCTCAGTCCCCTCCCTCCATCTCTTAGCTGCCGCCTTCTCCTGCTCATGATCATTCTTCTCATCCTCCTCGTCCGATACCAGCGACAGCGCTGACATGAGTGAGTGCGAGATGGGCGGAGAGCAGTCCATAGCTGCAGTGCAGGGATCAGCTCCAGCAAGCAGGGGCTACACATCTTCAGCTACAGTGCTAAGGTGCGCTGGTGCGCGACATGCGGGGGTGATAGCTGGAGCCAAACGTTCTTAGTTGCCGTTCCCGCAAGCCTTTCAAGGCTTTGAGACACCCGTTGCCGCCCGGGAAACGGGACTGGGGGGTGGTGCCGTCTCTTTCATCGTCGCCTCTGCTGTCACGCATTCAGTGGAGAGCATGAGGCAGGCGAAGCCTCCTCCTCCTCCTCCTCCTCTTCCTCCTCCTTGTTCTCCTCTCCCTCTTCCAGCGCGCGCTCCTCAGCGCACTCGGGGGGGGGGGGGGGGAAGGATGGAGGGAAGCAGGAGGGGGGAGGGGGGGGAGAGAATGGGAGGGTGAGGATTACGAATGCGCTGTATGTTTGAAAGTAGATAATCATCACAACTATGTAGGGCTGAAGCGACCATCATATATGTGGTTCAAGCCGTTGTGATTCCAAAGCGGTGCATAATCCGACTGTGGACAACATGCTGAAAGTTGGCTGTACGGCCGCGAATTAATTGCCACTGGCTGATGCTGTGAGATAGGAGAGGGAGGGGGGGAAAGGGCCGTGGAAGAAGGGGGAGGATAGGGCAGAATGAAGAATAGGAAGAGAAGGGAGAGGATGATGCATCGTCGTGCTATTCGTCCTCATCCTCGTCTTTATCCTCCATGTGCTTCGCGTCCTCCACCGCCTCCTCATCCTCCTCATCATCCTCCTGCCCTCCCTTTCTCCTCCTCCCGCCGCTCTCATTCTTCATTCCTCCGTCCTCCCTCCTTCCTTCCTCCATACCTCCCTTCTCCCTTCTCCCTCCCTCCTTCCTCCTCCTCCTCCTCCCTCTCCTCCTCCTGCACATTGTCATCCTCCTCCTCCTTCTCCACCCCCACGTTCCCTTATATAACCCCTCCTCCGGCGCCACCGTCGAGGCTCCTCCTCCTCCTCCTCTTCCTCCTCCTGCTCCTCCTCCTCCTCCTCCTCCTCCTCCTCCTCCTATTCCTCCTCCTCCCCCTCCGCATCATCAGCATCAGCATGTGCATCAGCATGTGCATCAGTATCAGCGTCAGCAGCGTCATAATCATCATCATCATCATCATCATCATCATCATCATCATCATCATCATCATCATCATCATCATCATCATCATCATCAGCGTAATCATCATCATCAGCATCATCAGAAGCATCATCATCAACGGCATCATCATCACTACCATTATAATAATCGCCATACTCACCACCACCACCACCATCATCATCATCATCATCATCATCATCATCATCATCATCATCATCATCATCATCATCAACGTCATCATCATCATCACCATCCTCATCATCACAATCATCACCACCACCATCCTCGTCTTCATCGTCATCATCATCAGCATCAGCATCATAATCATCATCGTCAACATCATCACCATCATCAGCATCATCATCATCATCAAAATCGTCACCATCATCATCTCCATCGTCAGCAGCATCATTATCGTCATCAGCAGAATCATCATCGTCATCATCAGCATCGTCATCCTCACCACCATCACCATCATCATCAGCAGCATCATACGCATCATCATCATCATCATCATCATCATCATCATCCCCATCCTCCCGTCCTCATCATTAGTATCATCAGCATCATCGTCGTCGTCGCCGCCATCATTAGCATCACCATCACCGTCATCGTCGTCATCATCACCACCATTATCATCGCCATCATCATTACAAGCAACATCATCACCAAAACCCGTTCTACGCATCATCATCGACCACATCATCATCACCATCATGAGTATCGTCATCATCAGCATCAGCATGAGCACCATTACTATCATCATCATCAGCATCATCAGCATTATCACCATCACCATTGCCATCAGCATCACCTCCGCATCATCATCATCATCATCATCATCATCATCATCATCATCAGCATCATCCATATCATCCTCTTCCGCCTCCTCCTCCTCCTCTTCATCATCATCGTCACCTTCATCGTCAGCACCATCATTATCAGCATCATCAGCAGCATCATCAACATCATCGTCGCCATAATCATAAGCCTCATCATCGTTATCGCCATCATCAACACCATCATCACCATCACTATCAGCATCATCATTATGACCATCACCATCACCATCACCATCATAGACACCATCAGCCCAATCACCATCATCATCACGCTCACCATCATCAGCATCGTCAATAACAGCATCGTTGTCGTCATCATCATAAGCATCATCATCATCACCACCACCATCATCATAATCATCCTCATCCTCATCCTCCTCCTCCTTCTCATTATCATCATCAGCAGCATCATCAGCACCCTCCGCTACGAGAAGGCAGAGGAGAAGGTGGAGGAGGAGGAGGAGGAGGAGGAGGTGAGAAGGAGGAGGAGGAGGAGGAGGAGGAGCAGGAAGAGGAGGAGAAGGAGGAGGAGGAGGGGGAGGAGGAGGGGGAGGGGGGAGGCACTCCATTCCTCCCCCTCCTCCCGGCGTCCCCCACTTCCTGGCCGCCCCGCGCCTGGCCTGCCAGGTGCCGCTCGGGTCGATGACCTCGGCGCAGCGCGGCCCGGCCGGGCCCCGGGGCCTGCGGCCGCGCACCGGCCGCCTGGGAGACGGGGCGCGCGGCGAAGGCCCCTAGAAGAGGCCGATAATTATGGAAAGCCTCCGTCTTGATCTTATCAATGCGTTGGATCTCTGGGTCCCTCCTCTCGCCCCTCCCCTCCCGGCCTCTCACCTCCTCCCCGAGCCCTGGGACCGTCAAAAAACGATTCGGGATGAAAAACCGGTCCTGAGGAATCGGTCGAGACTTCCGGGGACCCCGCATTGAAAAAACCACGACATCGGCCCTCTGGGGAAGGGGAGAGGCCCTGAGACCTGGGCGCTTCTGGCCCGCGGTCAGGCCCCGGGGACCTTCACAGAGCGATCCGGCTCGAAACATGTCGCAGAAGGATGGGGTCCGGGGTTCCCGTCGCGACTTTTCGCCATGTCGCTTTTCTTTCTCGCAACGACGGATCTCAGGGGACGGGAGGGGAGGGGCGAGAGGAAGGAAGGGGAGCGGGGCACAGGGAGGAGGGAGGATGCACTGGCCACCTGGGGTCGTACCCCCTCCCTCTCACCCTGAACGACTCCCATCCCTCCCAGCGGCTGCCAGGCCTCCAAGTGTTGGACCGCCACGTCGGTTCTAAACGTTTTCCCCCCTTCATTCCGCATGTTTCTCCTCAGGGTCTGGCCTTCAAGGACTTGTGGGCGTCCGTGACCGCTCCGCGGATTCAAGAAGTCCGAGCGGAGCGGCAAAAGCTTATGTTTATGGCCTCTTTCTTCTTCGATTTTCGCAGGCTTTCGCCAACCTTCCGCAGGCAGACCCACCACCACCTTCCCTCCGCCGACGTCCGCTGGCGTTCTGCCGCCTTCAGCCGCTGGCGAGATGCGCCGACGGCGAGGCCCTGTCTGGAGGGCCCTGAATACATCTTGCACCACGCAGATGGCACATCGAGGGTGCGGGGACCTGCTGCTCGGGGCTCACGCCGGCTGGCAACTTGGACCCCCATCCTCTCTTTCCCCCTGCCTTTTGAAGCCCATGTGTTATCTCGCTCTCTCTCTCTCTCTCTGTTTCTCGGCGCATCCTTGCGCCGGATGCCAGGAGCGGAAGTCTGCCGCTCGTCAGCTGCCGACGATGGCCCGATGCCAGCAATATGAAGGCAGACGACGCCCGACTTAGTGAGCCGTGCCCAGCCTCTTCGGGGAACGGAGTGGAGGCGGGGGGGAAGGAAGTATAAGCGGGCCGATCCTCACTACCCATGCGGGCAAGGCTGCCCTAATGGTATGCGGGTCGTGCACCCCTGCGCGCAGAAGCATGCTGCACACGGACCACGACGGGGGAGCGAAAAGCGGGCGCGGGGGTCCAGGCACGCACGAACAGCCACACCTTCTTGGTGGCAGCGCTGGCGGTCGCACGGCGCGGGTGAAGCCTACTCTGGGTCGTTGCGTCGCGAATTGCACACAGAGGGGCAGAGGGCCGGCCGCAGAAGGGGGTGGAGGGAACGGGCGACGCACTCAGAGGCCATGAAGGTTTTTGTTTGCTCTATCACGGCTTCGGGCTCCGGGTCAGGGTCGTGCGAGGGAAGCGGTGGTCTCCAGTCGAGCTGGACCAAGGAGAGCTGGCGAGCAGCGCCGTCTTGCCAGGGAGCAGGAGGAGTCACGAACAGCAATAGGGTCCCACAAAGCCTGCTCAGATGCCGACGAGGTGTACACTCAGATGCGTTGCTGGCCTTCCGCTCCCATTCCATCCCATCAAAAGTCGGCCACTGGACCGACCCGTCCTGGAGCGCTCCTTGGACAGGATTTCGAGTTGAACCCAGCTGTGTTGACGAGACCTTGGAGGCTCAATAGACGGGAAGTCGATCTCCGCCCCCTTTCCCTCGCTCCTGGCCTCATCCAGAATGACAAATCACAACATGAGCGCACGTAACCTTTCGGACGAACGCTGAACCTCCCGGTCGCCCGGAGCGCGCCAGGGGCGGCGCCAGAGAAGTCGCCGGGCATGGGGGCAAGGGGGCCCCAGAGCGGACCCCAGAAGCCTGGGCGGACTGTGGGCAAGCGTATGCTCATACAGCTCTTTGCTGTTCAGTCCTCCTTCCTCCTCTCGGGTGGCGAATCCGGGGAGCCCTTGTCTGCAGTTGTGGTCTTCGTTCTGTGCTGCTCCGCCCGACGTGCGCTCCACGCACTGGCGGCTCATTTCGCGGCAGCGCGCGAGTTTCGAGGCGCGCCCCGTCGCTGGCCTCCCTGGCCGCTCGCGCCCGCTTTCGATGGGCAAAAGATCCTCTCTGAGGGGCGCGCTTGGCAGAAGAGTATTGTTATGGAAGCACAGAGGCATACTAGTACTACATGTTCTCCTCGGAGGCGCGCGTCCGACCCGAACATACAGTATACCAATATTGTAGCATACTGTTTCCCGAGCGGTGTGGACAGAAAGCGCCCGCCACGACGCATATATACATATATATATATATGTATACACACACTATAAGATTTTTCGGTGCGCGCGTCGCCCCTGGGGGGGGCGACGCACACATAGTATTCGTATGGTAGGGTGACGCCGATTCCTTCCTCCTCCCTCTCTCTCTCGCAGCGCCGTCGGGCGTCCCCGATCCGCGCCGCACCGCCGCCGCGCGCGCGGGCGCGCCACCGGCGGGAGGCTTGGGGCCCCCCCGTCCAAGGGGGGATGCTTTCAGAGGCGGGGGGGAGGGAAGGGGAGAAGCCACCTGCCCGTCCTCTATCCTGAGGCCCATGGAGGGAGGAGAGGGACGAGGAGGAGCGGCCGTTCTTCCCCCCTCCTTCCTCTTCCTCCTCCTCCTCCTCCTCCTCCTCTTCCTCCTCCGTCCTCCTCCTCCTCCTCCGTCCTCCTCCTCCTCCGTCCTCCTCCGTCCTCCTCCTCCTCCTACACCTCCGCCTCCGCCTCCGCCTCCGCCTCCGCCTCCTCTTCCTCCTCCTCCCCCTCCACCTCCGCCTCCCCTCCTCCCCCTCCTCCTCCTCCTCCCCTCCCTCCTCCTCCTCCTCCCTCCTCCTCCTCCTCCTCCTCCTCCTCCTCCTCCTCCTCCTCCTCCTCCTCCTCCTCCCCGCCGTCCTTCTGCACGGCGGGGGCGTCCCTCGTGCGACAGCGTCGGTCCCCGGGTCCCCCGCCCTGTCGTTGGTCGGTCTCGGCCCGCCGTCTGCTCTCTCGGGCCTTATCATCGTCTCGGGACCTCCTCGTCGATTGATCCCGTGCGGATATATATATGTATATATATAAATGAATAATGATACAAAAACTAATGATAATAATCATAATAATAAGAATAATATTAATAATGATAATAATAATAATGATGATAATAATAATAACAATAATCGTAAGCATAATAGTAGTAGTAGTAGTAGTAGTAGTAGTAGTAGTAGTAGTAGTAGTAGTAGTAGTAGTAATAGTAGTAGTAGTAGTAGTAGTAGTAGTAGTAGTAGTAGTAGTAATAGTAGTAGTAGTAGTAGTAGTAGCAGTAGTAGCAGTAGTAGTCGTAGTAGTAGTAGTAGTAGTAGTAGTAGTAGTAGTAGTAGTAGTAGTAGTAGTAGTAAGAATACTGATAATAAGAAGAAGAAACATATTAATAAGAAGAATAATAACACGAACCTGGTGCGACCCCAATTAGGGGAACGCTTCCTAAGCGGCGTTGCTAACATTGCTTGGTATTGCATTGCTTTGCTTTGCACTGGATTGCATTGCTTGGCATTGCCTTGCCTTGTTTGGTGTTTCTTGTTATTGCTTGACTAGCTTGGCATTGCTTGCCATTGCTTGACATTGCTTTGCATTTCTTGGCGTTGCTTGACATCGCTTTGCATCGATTGACATTGCTCGGCGTTGCGTGGCATTCCTCAGCGTGCATTGCTTGGCGCTGCTTGGCGCTGCTTGGCGCTGCTTGGCGCTGCTTGGCGTTGCTTGGCGTTGCGTGGCATTGTTTGGCGTTGCTTTGCAAGACTTGGCATTGCTTGGCGTTGCTTGGCATTGCTTGGCATTACTTGGCATTGATTGGCACTGCTTGGCGTTGCTTGGCATTGTTTGGCATTGCTTGGTGTTGCTTGGCCTTGCTTGGCACGCCTTTGATCTGCTTGGCGTTGATTGGTGTTGCTTGACGTTGCCTGGCGTTGCCAGGCATTGCTGGGAAACAAACCCAACAACCAGGACGGGGAACCCAAGGAACCCGGGGAACCCGAGGAACCTCCGAGGAACGGGCAACGTAAAAATACGAGGCACCGGGGGCGAGGAACCTGGGGAACCCGAGGAAGCCAAGGAACCTCCGAGGAACGGGCAACGTAAGAATCGGAGGCACCTAGGGCGAGGAACCCAGGGAACCCGAGGAACCCGGAGAACATCCGAGGAACGGGCAAAATAGCCCCCCGAGGCACTGGCCTTTAATCAAGTAAGAACCCTTTAGGCAGGACAACTTGGGGAGCGATGAAAACAAACGTTCGGAGCTCCGCGCGGATATCTCTGACCTGCGCTGGACCCCCTCGCTGGCGCACGGAGCGTGCCCGGGGCGGAGGCAGAGGCGCCCCCAGGCGGGTTCAGCGCAGATGCAAGAAATTCGCGCGGAGCTCCAAAAGCTGATGTTCATGAAGCTTCTTCTTCTTCGCCGAGGAGTGCAGAACCAACAGGAGAAGGCAACGGCTGAGGCCTCCGCCCCTCCTTCACTTTGCGGCATGCACCGTTAAAATTTGCGCCCTTCTGGGCACGCTGCAGCTCTTCTGCTTCAAGCCCTTCCTTTACCGCACGGGCCTGCCGCCTAATTCGCCATCGTTCCCCATTCTGACAAAGCTGGCCCCTCTGCACCCGACGAACGCGACAGCCTCGATGCTCCAGTCCGCCCAGCGCAACACTGAGGCCGCCGGCCCACACCTGCCACTCCTTCAGGGCCTCCGTGAGCTGCAGGTCGCCCACGCGGTCATTGTGCGCGCGGAGGAGCACCTCCTCGCGGTCGAGGGACGCCTGCGGGGAGGGCCCCCGAGGCGCGAGGCGCCTCCTCGAGCATCGAGGAGCGGGGCGCCCGGACGTCTCCGGCACGGTCTTGCACGCTGTCGGCCCCCCCCCCCCCGTCTGCCCCTCGGGGCCTCCGGAAGGGGTCAGGGCCACGGGCGGAGGCAGGACTGGCCGCACGACGATGCGCGCGAACGCCCCTCCGAGTGCGGGCATTTCGCAGGAGACTTCCTCGTCACTTCTGATGATGTAGCGTGGAAGGTTGCCACAGCTGCCAGGATGGAGGGGAAGTGGTCTTCAAAATGAAGCGATCGCCTTCGTGACGCACGCGCTGGTCTCGAAAGCTAGCGCAAATTACAAGGATGGAGGGGGGTGGTTTTCAAAATGGGGCTCTCTCCCTGGCGCCGCGCTCGTTTGTCTTGAAACCTTGCAGCAGTTACAAGAAGGGAAAGGGTGGCTTTCAAAACAAGACTCTCGTCTTCGCGCCGCGTACAGTCTTTAAAACACTTGCAGCGGCTACCAGGATGGAAAGGGGGGGGCGTTTTCAAAGTGGGGCTTTCGTCCTAGCGCCGTGTGTGCTCGTGCTAACCAATTGCAGCAGCTAGAAAGATAGAAGGGGATGGAAACGGGGCTCTCGCCTTAGCGGCTTAGCGCCGCGCACATTCGTCTTAAACCAATGTAACACTGACAAGGATAGAGCATATCATGTTTAAAAATGTTGTTCCCGCGTGGGACTTCCTCAAGCTTGGCCACCAGAAGGTTGAACACGTGTAACAACTGCAAAGGTGGAGGGCGGCTCCTTTTCAGAATGGGGCTCTCGCATCAGACTTGTGCGGCAGGTTCACGGATGGGGGCGCGGTTCTTTTCCAGAAGGAACTATCGCTGGACACATCGTTGAACATAATGATCAAACTGCTCGCGTTTCTTGCAATTTGTTAGAATGACGCAACGCAGCTCGTTTTCAAAACGGGGTTATCGCCTGAATGGCAGGCTCACAGGGTGCTCGTCTTTCAGATGGACGCCTCTTGTAGTGAAAACGAAGGCTTATAGGGACTTGTGAGGAGGGGACCTGGAACGCAACGGTGGATTGCAGCATTGTTGACGCATCCTGGGATTACTCTGGTCCTCCTCCTCCTCCTCCTGGACCCCGCCTCCCTCTACTCCTTCTTCCTTCGTCGTCCTCCTCCTCCTCCCTCTTTATCGCCCCAGAGGCTCCAAGACGAAACCTCTCTGAATCTCCGACGCCAAGGAACAGGACGCCCTGGGAAGGGGCATACATCTAGGACAGGTCGACACCTCCACTTGGGAGGAACTCGCTGGGAAACCTCAACCATGTGGAAGCCCTCTGCCTCTCCTGCTCCAGGCAAAACTTGTCTGGGCGAGCAGACGCCAGGGGAGGGGGCGAGGGGGCGGGCTCGCCAGACAGGGCAGGGCTGTGCAATTTTCCTTTGTGGCAATGCAGCGTACTCCCGAGGCCGACAGAGCCAGGGGCGTTTCGGCGACTTGCCTCCTGTGTCTCAACACGCGATGCACCACCTTCCTTCCTTGCCATTGACCTCGAAGGTTCCTCACTTCGGCCGTGCAGAACGAGCGTCGCCGCAGCGCCAAGGTCGCGAGGCCTGGCGGATAGCGGGAAGGAGGCGAATCATTCTGATCAGCCGAAAAACAGATTAGAAACTTGAAGCTTTCGAGATTGTCTTCGCCTCGACATCACTGGATATTGCGGCGGGGGTTGTGTTACATTTTATCGTCGGGGTTCCAGCAATACCAGTCACAGGTGCTTGCGTCCCCGAAAGAGCACCATCCTCCAACGAAGAGCGTGTCCTTTGTCACCGGAACAAAAGGGTTGGCCAGATCTAGTTCATAGACGTCCACTGCACGGAGAGCCTCTGGGAAGCTCACCTTGTGATGATATCTGGCATTAGCTTTCGCCTGATCGAACATCTATTTACATGATAGTATGCTCTGTTAAAGCCAAGAGACCACTTGTGTCTCATATCCCACGCAATAGCTGCGTTGTCAATCGTGCCGCGGGCCAACGACATTCGGTCGTGGTCTGCACCAACTTGGGATAGTGATCGCATGGTTTCCTGAATGTCTCACGATCGTGCGTCACACTTGCCGAAACCTGCAGGAGATCGCAACAGTTCTTGAACGGAGGACCATCTCCCCGTCGCCCCCCACGATTACCGTAGACATTTGGCACGGCCCTGACTGAGACACACGCGACATGTTTCTATCTGGAGAATACCCGTGGCCATATTCTGACAGCTGACAGTCAATGGCGTATACCCCCATCATTTGCCCCGACGTCTTCTCAAATATTGCATCCCGCCCAGACTGGCGCTTGCCATATGCGCAAACTGCAAAACCTCCATGCATCTCGAACAGCGTTGTGCATTTGCGCATACTCTTGTATGGTAATACGCTCGTCAGCACAAGGATCACAGCGCACGAATCCGGACTGCGCAATGCGGTTCAAACAGTTCTTTCCTGACACAGTAGCAGCCGCGGCAGCATTTTTACGACCACCTCCCACAAAAAAAGCTGGTGAAGCTGGAGCCGCTGCTGAATTACCGAATCGCCCAGAGTCTTTAATGTCTCCTCGGAAGCCCGAAGCAAAACCACATTCGACTCCGTCCTTGAAAACACTCCTTCCGTAACGTGCCGTGTAGCCTCTCGCAACCAAATCACACATATCATCAACGAGCAAAACACTGTCCACACGATATCCCCCGTCGATTGAATTGTCGATCGCACTGGAACTAGCCCGTTGCGCTTCAGATACTCAATCCTCACTGTGTCTTAAAATCCCAGCGAAGAGCTGAATCTTCTACATTGGAGCAGCTCTGGTGATGGAAGTCATGATGGAAGAGGCGTTGGGGTGTTGATGCCACTGCCGCTGGCACTGTGCTGTCCACGCCCAAACACACGTCGGTATTTTCCACGGGCTTCAAGGTACCGACGCGCACAACATGGCCAGTGGCACCAGGCCGTTGACCGATTTCGAGATCCATCGAATTTGGCAGTTTCACGTGAACCGCGCTCATCTGACGCACTTGCAACCTGACTATTTTTCTTTCAGCGCGCAAGAGACACCGCGAGAGTGCATCGGCCACGCGGCCGGGACAGGCAAGCGCCACCCATGACAATTATTGCCCAGGCATGTGTCCAAAACTGGCGCGACAATGCTAAACGTCGAATGGCAACCCATTCTGAGTTTCGCGCACAGATGCCCAGGAGGACGATCAAGAGGAGGGAGCGCAGGAAGGAACAGCGAGGAGAGGAGGAGGAACCAAAGCTAGAGCACCCTTGCCGCTTCGAAGAGGCTCCGCGGGGGGCGTGCGCGGCCAGGGCTGGCTCCTGCCCACGCAGCGCGCGGCGCGAGCAGGCCGAGGAGGATGACCGCGGGACATTGCGGTGACGAGGCCGAGTCCTGCTCCTCCTCCTCCTCCTCCTCCTCCTCCTGCTCCTCCCGTCCTCCCCTCCTCCTCCTCCTCCTCCTCCTCCTCCTCCTCCTCCTCCTCCTCCTCCTCCTCCTCCTCGTCCTCCTCGTCCTCCTCCTCCTCCTCCTCCTCCTCCTCCTCCTCCTCCTCCTCCTCCTGAGTCGAACGATGCTCCCACAGAGGCCCCTTGAGCCCGATAGCTTGAGCCAATGCTGCGCGGGAGCTGCCTGGCAACCGTGGCTGGGTGAACTCCGACAGGCAGTGCTTGGCCACGCGCCGCTACGCCACACTGCTGCACTGCGCCGCGCAGTGCCTGGTTACGTCGCGACATGCGATGCGATCTGTTGCAACGGCCCACACGTCGCGCCTGCCTCTCCCGACCCGGCCGCCCCACCACCGCCCACCGGGCCAAGTGCCGAGCCACGCAGGCGTGCAGCACAGACCTCGTCCGCAGTAGCCCGCCGCTGCCCTGGGGCCCGCACGAAAATGCTGTGGTCGACAGCCACGGCTGCGATGAATTGCGTGCTGCCGAGGTTCGTGGCGAACTTCTTCAATGTACCCTGTAACGCTGGTGAAACGCATTGCCTCAGAGAGGTCGACAAAGGCGCCGCGCTCCAGCATATGCTTGCGGCATCAGCGTCTTCACCGTCACGGCAGCCTTCGGCAAACAGGCGCGGCGATCTGATACAAAAAATCAACACGTGCCTGCAAAACGCGACGCCACTCGCAAATGCTGGGAGCCCAGGTGCGGAAGGACATCATCTGAAGCTACTCTACCATGCGAACTGCTGATCAGTTCTGGGTGCGGTACGCGATGCTAGACGTCACAGGATGCTGCACCGAAGTGCGGCGCAGCTTTGCCTCAAACTGCTGCGATCACGATTACTCTCTCTCTCTGTCTCTCTGTGTCTCTCTCGTTCTTCCTGCCCTACTCACCTCGAGCCGCGGCACGGCGTCACTGCGCCTGCGCACGCAAGAGTGTCCTACACGAGGGGGAGAAGATGCGGAGGGGGAGGGGAGATGGGGAGGGAAAAAAGCCGAGAAGGCGGAGCGGGAGGAGAGGGGACGGCGCAAGGAGGAGCAGGACAGAGGGAAAACCGCGAGAAAAGTGAGGAATATGAGAAAGGCGACGACGGGTGCGTGAGTGTGTTTGTGTGTGCGTGTGTGCGTGTGTGCGCGTGTGTGTGTGTGTGTGTGTGTGTGCGCGTGTGCGTGTGTGTGTGCGTGCGCGTGTGAGAAAAAGTGTGTGTGTGTGTGTACTTGTGATGTTCGCTGCGTGTGTGCATGTGTGTGTGCGTGTGTGTGTGTGTGCGTGTGTGTGTGCGCGCGTGTGTGCGCGTGCGTGCGTGTGTGTGTGCGTGCGTGCGTGTGCGTGCGTGCGTGTGTGCGTGTGTGCGTGTGTAATGTGTGTGTGTGTGTGTGTGTGTGTGTCTGTGTCTGTGTCTGTGTCTGTGTCTGTGTTGTCTCTGTGTGTCTGTGTGCGTGTGCGTGTGCGTGTGCGTGTGCGTGTGCGCGTGCGCGTGCGCGTGCGCGTGCGCGTGCGCGTGCGCGTGCGCGTGCGCGTGC